GCACCAGTTCCATCATTAATCTGTCAAAGATATATTTAATGTTCTGCAGTTTATGATTATGTATTCATTACAGTGTTGTATCGGTTCTAAAATTTTTATTCATTTACTTTTCTCATTAATTATTTATACATGTATGTATAGAACACAACGCGGTGGAGCCGCGTCTGCTCGAATCTCTACCCAAATACTCTATCCATATAATCGCATTTAGCTGTATTTTTTCAAAGCGCTTTTTCCACTCCATCACCGTCAGGGCCTTAAAATTAAACACTCGAATGTTTTCGTTGAGAATTTCCATTTTTTTTTCGAAGAGGTATTGTTGTGAGCGCGTGGTGGAGATAGAGAAAAAAAACCGTCGCGTTCTGAAAATACAAATTACAGCATGGACTTCCCCTAATTTTATACATATACCCTTCGCCGTTTATACTTTCTATATTGATTACGTCATGTTTTAGTTTTATCTACCATTCCGCTGAGATTTTTCTACTTCTAATACTTTTAACATCGACGATTGATAACTTTTGCTTTCTTACATCATTAATTATCTCATTGAAATACCCAAACATAATGAGTGTTTCAATTATCAAACCCAAAAAAAAAAAAAATGACGAACGATATCCGAAAATATCTCATTCTGAAATAATAAAAAATTCGAGGATGAATTTTTATTCTTCCCATTACACTCGAGCATTTCATTGAAATGTTGTTTTTTTTTTTCAATTTTTTTTTCAGGCTTTAGGCGAGGGGAAAATTATTTAATTCGTCATCAGCTTCACGACGATACATATTTTATTTCTTTTCCGTGTGACTAAATAGGGCCTCTTCGACAGTTCAAAAAATAAATCTTTATTTATGCTCTTTTTATGTTTATTTATTAGTAGAAAGATAGGCGGGGATATTCATGTATTATCTTTCATACTTCTTTTTTTTTATTTGCATCACATTACAATAAATCTTGGACATTGATTAGACCTTATTCTTCACTTACTCGGTATTTCCGGCATGTCATTTAAAACCTTGAGTTAGACCCATTTGTATAATTCATTCACTCGAGTCTTCCTTTGGACACAACATACTCCCTTAAAGATAATTGTAATTAAACGTTATTAAACTATGTACAAGTCTCTACCGTTATATTGAAAAACTGTTGCATTACAATTTTTCATAGTAGAATGTTCAATAATATATCTCATTCACGTATCCCGAGCGTGTGTTAGCCTGTCTTCTAATTTATTTTATGTGTATACATATAAAAAAGCGGCGCTCGATTATTGTTTAATCCCAGGCGTCCATGAACAGTTTACCTTTATTTATCATAATACTATCTACATTCACAATTAATTGAATTAGCCATATGTACAATTTTCATTAAAAAATAAAACGAAAGAAACAAATTAAAAACAGAGAATGAATTTTACGTCATTGTTAAAAATATTTGCATCACTCTTGCATTTTCATCTCTTGTTTCTACTATTCAAATTTTTTTTTCCCCCCCATCTCTCTCTCTTCCTCAACAGTCACCGAGAACCTAAGAGCGACGGCTCATTCTTTTCGTTTTAATCATTCTTATTTTCATTAATTTTTGGACGAACGCGTCTTGGACGATGGGCTCTCGTGTCCATTTTTTTAAAAAATAGATCCCGCAGATTAATTGATCCAAACTCGTCATTGAATTCCGACCAAACACTCCAACCAGATCATATTCAATTTAATTTATACAATTATAACTACTCGCTTAACTCCACTGGTGAGTAGAAAAGAAAAAAAAAAAATCTTCAGAATGATCTAAAACGCACAGCGCAAAACGCCAAATAACTTTACACATTCCCATTGTTGTTTTATCATCATCATTCTCAATAAAATAATCACCTCATTTTAACAAGCTTTATATCTTCGTTTAATAAAATGCGACTAGCTTAATTTTGACACTTCACGGATCACTGTATCATAACCGCTGCTCTGGACCGTATGGCACCAAATTGTCACACGTTGACGAGTTCATATTGATTTAATCAATTATGAATAAAAAAAAAAGAAAATAAGCAAAACTCAATGATTACCTCATCACGAGTCATGCCTGTGATTTCTGTTTCTTCTGTTGCCACTCTTCCTACGTTTTCGTTTGGTATCACGAGTGAATGCCACATTACCAGGATCATCAGCTAGCTGTGGATACCTGTGTACACTATGAATATCAACACCTTCATATCCATCCACTGTTCCCCTAGCAATGAGCTCGTCCTTCTCCTCCTTAGACCAGTCACCACGTCCTTGGAATCCAGCCATAACCAGTTGTTTTTCAATCTCCCACGCCCTCTCCACAGCCCTTTTGTGTGCATGCTTGAGAATTCTGTGACGCTCCTGCTCAGGATCAGCTCCATACTTTATAACAACGGCAGCATCTGGATTGTGAAGTCTGAGCTCTTTGTAAGTACCTGAGCCGTGCTCCGTTGTTTCATGAGTTGAAACGTTGAACATACTGCCGAGTCTTCTGAGCTCCTCCATGTCGTCCCTCATCTTCAGGGTATTGTCCTTCACAAAGTAGAAAACGTCTTGATCATGGACGCTGAAGTGAAGTGGCAAAAAGTACGAATTGTTGAAGACTGAGGTGACGACGTCTTGGACAACGCTGTTGATGCCATCTACAACGCTCACGAGTGCACGTCCACCTACTCTTGAGACTAGGATACCTTCACCGAAGACTGCACGACGATGTGCAACTCGGGGAAGTAGATTTCTCGTTTTTGGTTCGAGTTTGAGAAGTGGTTTGGGAACAAAATCGAGATCTGAGAATTTTTCGTGGACTCGATTAACGATGCACTGCAATCCCGACATCACACCGAAGTCCGGTGTTAATTGAGGAGAAGTTATAGTAGCACTTGGTTGATAAACCATCGTCTTGGTGTACTCAGAGCCCAGCATCGATGGAATATCATAACCATAAAGTCTCAACCAGCTATTCATATCAGTCATGTATTCAACATTCTGCCTCATATTTATCGGATCGTTATTCCTGAATCTGTAGATGAAGATGTCCGTTGGAGTCGTCAATTCATTCGCCATCTGCTCCCAAGCTGGTGTCATCCACTGGCCGACGGTCGGATCGTACAATCGTTTCTGGAGATAAATCAATTTAGTATTTGGATCGAAGAGACCACCATGAAAATCAATGGGCAAATAGAAATCTGGATTGGTGTCCTTGATGATTTTGCCGAACGGTGTCCTCCGCATCTCCTTCATTAAATTACCATTCGTATCAAAGAGAGCGAGAGGAGATCCATTCTGATCAGTGGCAACGTAGAATCGTTGCTCAGATATCTCGACAGTTATGAGGAAGTTACGAGAGTCGTAGAGAAAACGGAACGTCTTGCCGGCCTTGGGGAAGTGGACGTGGGTAATGAGATCAGGAGTTTTTGGATTTGTGTAGAAGAACTGGGTGATATTTTCACGATCGTCATTCCAGGAAATGAGGCGACCGCGATCATCGTAGAAGTACCAGATCTGGAACTTCTTGTGTTCAGAAGCATGGATCAGCTGTCCTCGGGAGTTGTATCTGTAAATATAACAAGTAATTAAAATTATTATGAAATTCGAGAGATTTTTTACAGCAATGTTCAAAGCTACAGGAAAATATGATAATCACCTGTATTTATGCTCGCCACGAATAACAACGAATCCCCTGCTGTCGTAAGAGTTGAACTCGACGTCTCCGTACTGAACAACTCTGTCACCGCTGTCATAACCTAGTGTGATCTTCTCATTGTGCTCAGTGACCCCGATAACATTTCCATTCTCGTCATACGCGTATTGCCAATTATTATCGGTATCAGCGACTTCAAGCACATGTCCGTCAGCATTGTACGTTATTTTATCGATTCTTGACCACTCCTTCTTGTCCATCGACTCCTTTCCAATGGTGAGCTTTCTCATTTTTATTCTGTTTCTGTTATCATATTCCAGTTCCATTCTGAAGACATCCATAGTTCCAATATTCGTGAGAATGGATTTGACTCTTCCGTATTCATCATAATCCGTGACAGTGAAGAATTGTTTTCCACTGTCCTGCATCACAGATCGGTTGAACGAGTTTCGGTAAATTCTCAAATCCCCTACACCCTCGAGAATACCGAGATTCTGATTGTACTTCAGTCGAAGCTGTGGCAACTGCTTCCCATTGATATCAACCTCGATCCCTGATATCCTCGCATTACCATCGTACTGATAACGATAATGCGCATTATCCATTCCACTTTTGCTTCCGAATTTGATCTTCTCGTCCTTTACGATGCCAGCATGATATTTGTACTCGATCCTCATCTCGAAGTTTGGTTCATTGATGTCAATACTTCTAACGAGACTAGTTGTTTCCTGATAAGTGTAATGGATGGAGGAGAGTCCAGCGAGTGTTGTTTCCAACTTGCCCGTATGATCGTAGACGTATGCAACTTTTCCACTCTGGTGTGGATAGACTTTGGCTAGAATCTGTCCATCATCATTGTACAATATCTCATAAGGATGTCTATTCATTGGTGAATAGTACTGATACTTGTAGAAACCGAGAGACGTTTGAAGCGAGAATGCATGGATGTGTCCTCGAGGAGTCGTCAAAGACTGGAGAGCTCCAGCTTCATCATACTGAAGAAGATAATCACTTCCACGTGGTGTCGTAACCTTCAGCGGTAAAGAACTGAACATATCCTTGAAAGCGTACACCATGGACGTACCATCGCTGTATTTGATCTCGTAGAGTCTTCCAGCCCGGTCGAAGCTGTACGTCTCGCTGATGTCACCACGAGTCCATTTTGTCAATCTGCTGAATCTATCGTACTCCAAATCAACTTCTGTGAATATTCCATTTCTGGGTCCCCACTTCAGAGGCCTAGCATTTCTGTCATAAGTCACATTAAGCAGCTCCACTCTATCATCAATGAAAACAGCAACAGTATTTGTCTCTCGATCATATTCAAGTGACAACAATACGTCTCCATTGACTCGAAGCTTTCTCCCAACTTGAGCGACTGCTTTTGGATTTCCTCGATTTTTCCCCTGGACTTTTCGCAAGAAGTATCTCCACTCGAATCTATTAGCGAGATCACCAGAGATCTCAGTTCGTTGTTTAGCAGGGACTGGGTAGCTCTCACCAAGTAGTGCCTCGATTTCAGCTAGAATGGCGTAAGAGAGAGTATCAGTGCTGAATGTGTGGGCCCAAGGAGTTACTCGGCTGACTGAACCATCTCCAGATACAGTGGTCCTCTGCTCTGCCTCTCCGATCTTCGTGACAACTGAAGAACCTTTGATCAGCATTGACACTGGCTTTCTATTATTCTGTCCCACCCTCACAGTGGCACCTTTGACACTCAGATCAAACGTAAGACCGATGACTTTACCAGTTGGAGTGACAGCGGACGTTAATCTTCCAAATTCATCATAATTATAGACATAGCTCCTCCCAGTGCTGTCTAATTTGGTCTTCAGCAGGCCAGTCGGTCCATGATAATCAAAAGTAACATTATAATTATCCGGAGTACTCAATTCATGAAGCATCTTCATCCTTGACATGCGAAGTCTACACTTCTGTCCTTTCGTGTTCTCGATGGAGTTCACTTGGGACGTGTAATCTCTCAACAGAAAAATCTTGTTACCAGAGGCATCAGTCACAGTACTGAGTTTTCCATTACTCGTATTAACATTGTACGTAAACAAGTAGCAAGTTTCACCAGTGAGTATGTTCTTAGTGGCGATGTGCTGGCCAAAACGATTGAACACATAGATCTCTTGAGTGTCTGGGGAATAGATCTCGTACTCTCGTGCTCCATTGGCATCTGGAATGCTAGCCATGACCGATCGTATTCTGTAGTTCGCCTGATCGCCGATATGCACAACACCATCAGCGGACACTGCTACCGCCGAGATGGTATTGAATTTGGCAGTGGAAGCGAGATAATGATCAGCTTCGAAACAATCACACCCTCTTTCCAGACAGTTGCATTTGGATTCAGCTCCGGCGTACGGTGAAATTTTCCCATCCGTTCCGATCACTCTCACTCGGTTGATCCTCTGGGAGTCGCTCTCAGCGATGAAGAGATTACCAGAGGGCCCAAAACCAATGCTCTGGGGCATTACTAATGTTGCGTGTGTAGCAAGTTCAGTGTCAAAGCTAGCTGATGGACTAGCGCAGTGAAGTGGCCTGCCAGCAACGACTTTGACTCTACCATCGGGTGCCAGCTGCAGTACCATATGATCGTCGATCATGTGAAGAGAATTGTCGAGGGGATTGATGGCTAGCTCTGTGGGCCAGCGCAAATGAACCTCTTCGACATTGAGCGTTCCCTCACACGGTATTGGTTTCCAGTGGGACTTGTGCATATGATTACCAATAACTGTCGTAATTATTCCATCTCTGTCCACCATCCGAATGTTGGTACCATCAGCAAAATAGAGGACATTGTCAGCTGATACAGCTACACCCTTTGGATAAGCTAGTTTGGCATCACGTGCTAGAGCGCCATCACCACAGTGTGCCTCATCACCAGGTAGACAGCGTTCACCCGAACCCACCACTGCCTCCCAATTATGATCTGGATCTGAATAATCACTTGTGTCACGAACGCGAATGATTTGGTGAGACTCTGGGTCTGAGATGTAGAGAATTCCGTCTAGAGGACTGAGTGCAATGTGATATCTGTACGATACTCTAGTGGCATTCAGTCTCACAACAGTTCGCACTGTTCCGTCGACGAGAATCTTTCGGATCAAGTTGAAGTCACCGACGAAGATTGAACCGTCTGGAGATGCTGCTAGAGCTACTGGAGCGAGAAGACGCTGTTTGTAGGCTTGACCGTCACAATCGTAGCAGTCGAGAGGCCTCTGGTGTCCATCTCCCATTGTCGTGAGGATCACTCTCGGCTTGTGCTTCAGGTAGATGTTGGACCCGTCACCCTTCTGAAGGATTCCCTCGTGGAAGTTGTAGCGATGATGGATGTCCAGGTTCCAACCACCCACTTCCGAGATCGACATGTCGTGACC